GGTCAGGCATTGGGAGCTGCTGTGATTAATCTTGAAGCAATCAAAATTAAAGATACAAATAATATTCTGATGTCAAATGACAGTACTTACAACCAAAAAGTAACAAATTTTATAGGTTATTTCCATCGATGGCAGCAACTTAGGCTAGACAAGCCCTGGATATAGCTTTTGGAAAGTGCGGATTAATCATTTTCAATTAAGAGAACTACATGTTACAGTGTAATTTATTCCTGTCCAAGATTTGATATTCATTTTGTACAACTGAATAGATAATCAGTAAATCTGTATTGTATATTCATTATTGCATAATGAACACGAAATTAAGATACCAAAGAGTGTGACACATCTGTTTCTTTTTGGATATTTTAATAGAAAAGGGAAAAAAACCTGAATTTTTTTTTAAAAAAATAACATCATCACATGCATATGGAGGTAACGTCTCCCAGTTGATTCGATATGCAAGAGCATGTTCTACATATGAACAACTTCTAAAACGAGGCAAACTATTGTCAAATATGTTGATGAAACAAGAATATCAACCGTCTCGTTTAAAGTCAACATTTTGCAAATTCTATGATCGATACAATGACATTGTCAACAAATACAATCTATCGTTAAGTTCATTGTTGTCTGACCTTTTTTCATACAAATTTTTAGACTATTATTTTCACACTAAATTGTCTACGAATTTTTCCGTTTACCCGATCCTGACATGGAGCACACGGCGGGTGTCGACAAAGGATGGTTACTCCTCCGTCGCAATTGATCCCAACTCTGATGTTTTAGAGGCACGTGTTTGCTCTGCTTAAAATATGTGTTTTGAAAGCCACTTGCGCAGGAAGAAAATAAAAACTTTGACGAATGAAATTATGCTACTGGGTTGATTGATTGTTCGAGAATTTTTCATTTGTATATAGAGACAATCAGATACCGGTGAGGGGCTTCATATTTGGATCTTTACTCGACACTCAGGGCCATTTAGCGGCGAAGGATCTTTATAGTGCCAACACCTGCAGTGACATGAGGCATAGGTTTCTAAGATCTCATCCGAAAGACCCGCAACTTTCACTTCAAAGTGCCAAGCGCTTGACGAAGAAACAGTTGCTACCTATCTTTTATGGACACTGGTCAGTCGTATCCCGGGCGAGCGCTCTACCGACTGAGCTACCGTGCTACTGGAAACATTGTTAGTAAAATAAATGTCAAGTTATATAGAAACATTTTTAATGAGTGAATATTTGGCCAAACTGTGTAAAATATATAGCAATCACTGGTCAGGCATATTTCTTGAAAATATTATCACATTTATTGACTTTACAACGTTGTGTGCTCTGCGGTTACAAAACATGTTGATTTGAAAATTTACTAGCATGAGTCATATTAAATCAAATGTAATGAGACTTCACGCATCAATAAAATGGATATTTATACATATAAAAAGTCCTCATATTAAATTTCTCAAAAATAGTTTAACGACGGTTGACACGGTCCGCGAACTTTTCGAACAGTCTTTAAACAATCTTTAAACGAAATTTATATTTATATTTTCAACAAAATACAAGATCTTTTCGAAAAAGATAATACAGTATAGGCAATGTAGATAGATATAATGAAAATAATGATAAAAGAAATGAAAAATAAAATCTAATCTTGTTCAAATATGATAGTATTTTGTTCCAATAACATACTGATTAATTCAAATTGTTTTTTAAAGGATTAAAAGAATTTATAGGAAAAAATGCATGATATGTTTCATGTATGAAAATTGTGAAAATAGCTAAATCAATCCAAGCCAAATTAAGAAAAAAGGCGATGATTGTGATAGAAAATGACGGTATACGTACATAAATTAGCGAGCTAAAAATTTAGCGCAATCCTCCTCTTCAGTTCCTAAGCAAAATAATAAATTAACGTACTTGTGTCCAGAAAACAACAGTAGTACTTAGTTTAAATCATGTATAAGCGTATACATAAACTAGCGGAAAAGAAGCTGCCAAAAATGCGCTAAAAACGTGTGTACGAGGGTAGACTTTTGTCATAACATTTTTTAGTTAACGTCATATTTTTACCAAATTTGGTACACATACTGGTATTTAAACAGTAGATTCAAATATTTTGAGTCAAAAAATTGGAATATATCTTGATATTTATCAAAATATCAAAGATTTAAGACAGCAAAAATGGGGTCATGGACCAGGGTCAAAATTGAGTTATTTATTAAATATACACTTTATAATGTCGATAGTCAAATCTCCAATAAATGGCGCTTAAACGAAGTAAAATTTAATTGATCAAATTCAGTATTGTTCTATTACTTCAGATGTTAAAATGTAATTTAATACATCGCTTCGTTTAATATATATCTAGTAGACTTCATTAGAAAAAGCAAAATACGATGACGTCGAAGGACGTCACGGAGCAGCAAGTAGCAATAAAATTTCGCTTTGCATTCGGGAAGCCTCTAAAACAGACTGAAAATGTTGAAGGAACCAGAAAATACATGTATATAAAAAATTAGCCGTCCATTTATATATAAATGGAAAAGACAGTTTTTGAATTGTAGAGACTTTGAATCGGACGATGAACGGTCTGCGAAGAAACAGATTACATATAGTTAAAAATCTTGTCAAAAGAGTTTGTAGCGTCATGAAACGTGATGTGAGCTTCACTGTTGCGGAACATGTGAAAATGAGTTACGCGGTAAAGAATTTGAAAAAAAAAAACTGACAAGCTACTCGAACAATTGTTACTAAACTAGGTGTCAAGTGTTATGGATGTTTTTTTATGAATGGGCAAGACGCTACAAACCGTTTGTGAAATGAAAATACAGAGTAATTTGAGAAACTTTCTCGACGTTGTTTTTGACGTTACAATGTTGTTAAGCGTGCTCTGTGGTGAAAAAATATGTTGTTTTTAAAATTGAGTAAAAGGGTTCCATTTAATCAAATGAAATGAAAATTCACACGTAGACAAAATAAATGTTTTTTTACATATGTTGTAAAAATCTTGTAAAAATAATATAATGAGGGACATTGTCTACTTATTTTTTAAATAACCCTCGTATAGTATTCTATTCCATTTTTATTTATTTATTTATTTATTTATTTATTTATTTATTTATTTATTTATTTATTTATTTATTTTATTTTATTTTATTTTATTTTATTTATTTTTATTTTTTTTTTTTTTTTTTTTTATTTTTTTTTTTTTTTTTTTTTTTTTTTTTGGGAAAAGATGATTTACATGTAAAATATGCAATCACATTGACAAAATGTTCTAAGAGAAGAAAAACAAACCAAATGCTTACATAATGTAGTGTTTTTCGTCAGACATATTTTGAGATATTTATTATCGTTCGTTTAATCACATACGAATGTTAAGCAACAAATACAATATCCGATTTTTTAGTCCTTTTGTGAACTAAAAGTCAATGAAATCCATAAAGAGGTAAATTGTTTGACACATAACTTAAATTGAACAAATTTGAAGGAAATATGAAATAAGATTATATACGGGTAGAACAAATATTGAAAGCATCTTAATCAGCGTGACAGTCTGACGGACAGAATGGATCAGTTACTTGACCTGAAGTCAATATTAACTCACGTAAGAAAAAATTGAAAACAAAACAAATATTTTCGGAAAAAATCAAACTGTGATTGTGTGAAAACGGAATGTAGCACACCATTGGGGTATTATGTATTTCCATACATTTAATGAAGTACGTGGTAACTTTCTGACTTTTTCCTAGAATCGAGATCTCATCGTTTATTGTTAATGGTTTTACTTCCTCTACATTTCTCGACTTTCTCTTCTTCCTTATTTAATCTCCTCCATCTCGATTTTTTCCAACATCGCACGGATTTAAATTTTTAAGTATTTCTCTAGATTTTAGGATTGTACGTCCTCTTAATTATTAATTTAGGTTTTCTTTCTTTCTTCCTTGTATATTCCTTCTTCTTGATTTTCTATCAAGATGGGGTGGACAAGGACATCAGATTATAAAGATAATTTAAAGTGATTTACTATTTTGCATTTTTTTTCCTTAAGTTTATTTTTTGTTCTTCTTAGTTTATTTTTACTTTCTATACTTCAACCATTCTCTCTCTCTCTTCTTCTTCTTCCACGACTGGACCAATGCAAGACATTAAAAATTATGTAAAAAAAATAATTATATCACAGTCTTTTTTTCTTCCGTATAAAGATGTCTCCTTAACCCGATTTTTTTTCGAGTTTTCTCTTTATATTGATTTTCTTTATTACTTGTTTTCAGTTTATTTTAATTTTTTAAACTTATTTCAGCATCTAAGCATTCTTGTGTAAAAATTAGTCTAATCCTGCGTTCAAATCTTTAATGGACACTGGTCAGTCGTATCACAGGGCGAGCGCTCTACCGACTGAGCTACCGTGCTACTGGAAACATTGTTTGTAAAATAAATGTCAAGCTAACATTTTTAATGAGTGAATATTTGGCCAAAGTGTGTGAAATTTATAGCAATCACTGGTCAGGCATATTTCTTGAAAATATTATCACATTTATTGACTTTACAATATTGTTGTGTGCTCTGCGGTTACAAAACATGTTGATTTGAAAATTTACTCGCATGAGTCATATTAAATCAAATATAATTAGGCTTCACACATCAATAAAATGAATATTTATACATATAAAAAGTCCTCATATTAAATTTCTCAAAAATAGTTTAACGACGGTTGACACGGTCCGCGAACTTTTCGAACAGTCTTTAAACAATCTTTAAATGAAATTTACCGTAGTGCTTAACAGTAAGACTTTTGAATGATTTTTTAACAAATATTATCATTCGATCAGAATTACCAAAAACGTGGTTTAAGATGCAACAGATATTGCGTTTCCTGAACAATTCTTATTAATCATATCTATCTCCTTAGAACTTCCTCATAAACTGAAGCATACAAAATACGGTATAAAATTAAAATTGTAAAAAAGAGTCCTCAGTCTGGAAGTGGGCTTTGTATGGTGAACCGAGAATAAATTTAGTAATACAGTAGAAAGATGAAGACCTGCATATTTGTAATGTTTTTCTTCTTCATTTGCCTTGTTTCTCAGGTAATCATTATATGGTACTAATATGCTTACATGACTTGGATGTAACATAATTATAGCATGTTATTATCATTATTTTTTTTAAACAATTTATAGAAAAATGCATGTTTCATCAAAATACAAGATCTTTTCGAAAAAGATAATATATAGTATAGGCAATGTAGATAGATATAATGAAAATAATGATAAAAGAAATGAAAAATAAAATCTAATCTTGTTCAAATATGATAGTATTTTGTTCCAATAACATACTGATTAATTCAAATTGTTTTTTAAAGGATTAAAAGAATTTATAGGAAAAAATGCATGATATGTTTCATGTATGAAAATTGTGAAAATAGCTAAATCAATCCAAGCCAAATTAAGAAAAAAGGCGATGATTGTGATAGAAAATGACGGTATGCATAAATTAGCGAGCTAAAAATTTAGCGCAATCCTCCTCTTCAGTTCCTAAGCAAAATAATAAATTAACGTACTTGTGTCCAGAAAACAACAAGTAGTACTTAGTTTAAATCATGTATAAGCGTATACATAAACTAGCGGAAAAGAAGCTGCCAAAAATGCGCTAAAAACGTGTGTACGAGGGTAGACTTTTGTCATAACATTTTTTATTTAACGTCATATTTTTACCAAATTTGGTACACATACTGGTATTTAAACAGTAGATTCAAGTAATTTGAGTCAAAAAATTGAAATATATCTTGATATTTATCAAAAATATCAAAGATTTAAGACAGCAAAAATGGGGTCACGGACCAGGGTCAAAATTGAGTTGATATACACTTTATAATGTCGATAGTCAAATCTCCAATAAGTGGCGTTAAACAAAGTAAAATTTAAATGATCAATTTCAGTATTGTTCTATTACTTCAATTGTTAAAATGTAATTTGATACATCGCTTCGTTTAAAATATATCTAGTAGACTTCATTAGAAACAGCAAAATACGATGACGTCGAAGGACGTCACGGAGCAGCAAGTAGCAATAAAATTTCGCTTTGCATTCGGGAAGCCTCTAAAACAAACTCTGAAAATGTTGAAGGATTCAGAAAATACATGTATATCAAAAATTAGCCGTCCATTTATATATAAATGGAAAAGACAGTTATTGGAGTTGTAGAGACTTTGAATCGGACGATGAACGGTCTGCGAAGAAACAGATTACATATAGTTAAAAATCTTGTCAAAAGAGTTTGTAGCGTCATGAAACGTGATGTGAGCTTCACTGTTCCGGAACTTGTGAAAAATGAGTTACGCGGTAAAGAATTTGAAAAAAAAAAAAACTGACAAGCTACTCGAACAATTGTTACTAAACTAGGTGTCAAGTATTATGGATGTTTTTATGAATGGGCCAGACGCTACAAACCGTTTGTGAAATACAAAATACAGAGTAATTTGAGAAACTTTCTTGACGTTGTTTTTGACGTTACAATGTTGTTAAGCGTGCTCTGTGGTGAAAAAAAATGTTGTTTTTAAAATTGAGTAAATGGGTTCCATTTAATCAAATGAAATGAAAATTCACACGTAGACAAAATAAATGTTTTTACATATGTTGTAAAAATCTTGTAAAAATAATATGATGAGGGACATTGTCTACTTATTTTTTGAATAAGCCTCGTATAGTATTCCATTTTTTTTTTAAATTTATTTATTTTTTTTTTTTTGTTTTGTTTATTTATTTGTTTATTTATTTATTTTTGAAAGGATGATTTACATGTAAAATATGCAATCACATTGACAAAATGTTATAAGAGAAGAAAAACAAACCAAATGCTTACATAATGTACTGTTTTTCGCCAGACATATTTTGAGGTATTGATTATTGTTCGTTTAATCACATACGAATGTTAAGCAACAAATACAATATCCGATTTTTTAGTCCTTTTGTGAACTAAAAGTCAATGAAATCCATAAAGAGGTAAATTGTTTGACACATAACTTGAATTGAACAAATTTGAAGGAAATATGAAATAAGATTATATACGGGTAGAACAAATATTGAAAGCATCTTAATCAGCATGACAGTCTGACGGACAGAATGGATCAGTTACTTGACCTGAAGTCAATATTAACTCACGTAAAAAAAAAACATGGTACTGTTGCAACGGAATAATAAATAAATCTTAATTAAAACAAATGTTTTTTTCTCAATAATTGATATCCTGAAAGGAAAGGTTGTAGATAATAGAAAACAAGTTCGTATTATTGAACATTTTCGGAATCTCAGACACCTGACATCGCACAACGGACAGCGGACTTGCAAACAAAAGACAACTTACGGGGAGCGTTTTACAAATACGTTTTAACATTTACCTGAGAATTTTCTTTCATTCATCTCTGACATCTATTAAAACGAATAAATTGAAAACAATTAAATAGGTCAGAATTGTAGAGATTGGTAGAGATTAAAAATAGTTTGTTTTTTTTTACAAACAAAATTTTACAAACAACTAAACTGCCACATCAATTGATCATAATTAAAGTCATATATGGCGTTTTTTTAATAAGTTCAGACTAACTTAAATTAAAAAGATCTATTTATTTTATTACTTTATATAAAGAGAGGACTTTCCTGTAAATCACACAATTTAAATTAATCGCGTTTCATAGATTTTATTAATTTAAAACAATAATTAACCGATTTATTTACCGACTCCGCATTTAATTAACACACAGTTTAAAATCAATTTGACTATGGAAACATCAGGTTCAGGTTCAAAATCAGTAAAAATCTTAATTTGATCGTAAACAACATATATCATGTTTATCTACACTCAATCACGTATTTTTAATTTTAGTTCAGATACGCCATATATATAGCTTTAAATATATATATCTTTATATCATATGCAATGGCGGATTCAGATGGGTAACGGGAAATGCAATCCCCTCCCTTTGATTTTGGAAGAAATAAAAAATAATAAATGAGGATTGACGAGAAAAAAATATAAGAAAGAAATAGAAAAAAAGAGAGTTGTGACTGTATACATGTTATTGGAATTTAAGACAATAATAAAACTTCATATTTGATTTATCTTCTTCAGCACAACGAAGACATTCAAAATTTTTGATTTCTCTCGACGGTTAAGCTAAAATAGAAACTAATGTTTTTTTTTTTTTTTTTTTTTTTTTTTTTTTTTTTTTTTTTTTTTTTTACAATTAATCGGATAAGAAAAAAGAAAATAATTTTGAAAAAAAGTCAGAATGAGGAATTAAAATTTGCAAAATTTGATTTGAAAAATCCAAAAGTACATTGCTTAGCTGACTTTATTGAGCGATTTTAAAAACTCAAAATTTAATGAAAGTAAAAAATTAAGAAAGATTCCCTCTCCATTTTTAAAAGATAAAATACTTGATATAGATAACACTTGTACGTGCAAAAATTCTGAATTATGTTTAGCATATTTTAAAATTAAACCATTTCTTGGTTGAACATGAATTCTTGTATATATACATGTACATTTATATTGAATTAAAAGTTTCATGTTATTACCTCGATAATTTAAATTGTATTTTTATCATGGCCATGATGTAGTTACAAATTCTTTATTAAAATACATCGATGCAATAATGTTTAAACGTTTACATTAAAAAGTCTGTCTTTCAAAATCCAAGAATGAAGAAAACTTCCTGGACCCCCAGCAAGGCTTCAAATTCAAATTTTCCCTTTACCCAGTGGAAACCTCAAGCAGGTGGCCTCAGATCCCACATAGGAATCCTGACTAATTTACATCACACTCTTCCCGGCTATTCCAACGAGGATGTAATTGTTCAGTCGTTATTTTCTTAGGTGTAACATGTTTATGAATTAAAGTTTTAAAATCAGTAGTTATATGTCAAAGCCCAGTGCTTCTCTCTCTCTCCCCCCCTTTTAAATATCTGGATCAGCACATGATATGTGGAGTACGAAATAAGCTGTATGTGATGTTATTCACGTTCAAGACACTGATAATATATTATTGTCCAAAGTTATTATTTCCCGAGAAAGTACTTTTTTCTTTAAATTAAATGTATGTCCACAAACAATTCCTTAAACAAAATTTATTATATAATATATTTTACAGTGACGCCATAACTTACTTTGACAGATTTTTTTTTCTTATTTAAAGATCATGCGCTCATTAAGGTATCTATATCAAAATGCAAGTCCTTTACATTTCTTAGTTCTTGGAGATTTCTGCTTTCTATTTGTTGATGGGAAAATGGTGCCACTGGAATAAAACATTCAAATAATCTCTCGGGGAAGGGGGCAAATCATTATTTTAGGAAAAATTGGTGGAGGCCTCTTCTCCCTCAATACCACGTACATGTATACACTTGTACAGTGTAGAGTAGTGTTAATCATACAAATAAGAACGAAATGTGATTATCGAGTACAATTAATCAAGACTACAAAATTTATTTATATCATTCACTTTTTGACACGTTCCCTTACGTGAAAAGTCCGCTGTCTGAAGTCAACTGTCGGGTGTCTGAGATTCCGAAAATGTTCAATAATACGTTTCCACATAGCATGTGCTTTTCCGTACCACAAGAAAAGAAGCCAAGTAAACCACATCTTATCTGAAAGAAAAGCTAAAGATTGGCATATTAATGACACCAGATCTCTTAACGAGATAAGGTACAAAAAAATAATAATAAGATAATTCTGTTGCATAATTCTCAGAAATTAACTGACGCTGGCATACTTTGTTGACTTAGGAAGTCGATAAATGCTTTTTGAAATGGAGTTTTCGTTGAACTTTAAAAACTTGACGTCTGCAGGACCCGTAGCAAGTGTCTCCATATTGGAAAAAAAAATTATCACTGCCCGTTGATCTGCCGGTTTCATTTAACGGTGATACCTCAACTTCTGGAGTCCATTTTCGTTCATGTTGCCTCTTTCCTTGTCATCTGTTTTTTAAACATTTTTGAATTGACGTATTGCTTTGAGCGAAGTCAAGATTTGCAGTGAAACATATAATAGCATTTTTGAATTTAATTTCACGGAATTTTTTTTTTCATTAACTACTCACCCTCAGCAAAGAGTTATGTATCAAATGATATATGATACATATTATAAATACACAATCAATGACTGTACATAATATTATACACTTGGCTGATAGGCTACAGGAGACTATGACGTGTCGGTGAAGCTACTGGAGTACAACAGAGACGAGGACTGTAGCTGTGATGATACTCCTATTATATGTGACGATTGCGACGTTTATTTCCGGATCTGCTTAAAACCTTTATCACCAACACAAAAGTAAGAAAATCTCTCTCTCTCCCTCTCTCTCTCTCTCTCTCTCTCTCTCTCTCTCTCTCTCTCTCTCTGTGTGTATTCCTTGTGACAAGATCTTCCTTTGGGTACCAACATATTTGACCTCTTGACCTTGACCTTTAGTTTGATCCACTTTTGCAAAAATTTGCCCAACTTTAACCTTGGCCATAACTTTTGAACAGTTTGTGATAGGACTTTCAAATTTCACAGGTGTGTATTCCTTGTGACACGACATTCCTTGGGATACCAACGATTTTGACCTTTTGACCTTGGAGTTTGACCTACTTTTGAAAAACTTTGACTTTTGCCATAACTTTTGAACAGTTGGTGTTAGAGTATTTATATTTTGCATTTGTATTTCTTATTACAAGGTTTTCACCAGCATTCCATTAATTTTGACCCTTGTCTTTGACGTTGGAGTTTGACCCACTTTTAGAAATATTAACCTTGACTATAACTTTTGAATGATTGGTGCTTGGGTTTTCACATTTACCAGGTATATCTATTGACAAAGGTCCTTTCTTTGGGTAACAACAATTGAACAGTTTTGATCTCTTGACCTTGACGTTGGAATTTGAATTGCATTTGAGAAACTTTAACTTTCGCCTTAAGCTGCCATACGGGGGGCATCAGTGTTTCACAAATACATCTTGTTTGCACAAGTTATTGTCAATGCACACACAGTAGCCCCAGATAAGCATAATCTTTTAATGAAAAAACGTTCCTTTAATTAGGGATGAATTCAGTTTAAATGATCCGATTTTTATTTTTACTTTTTTTCAGTCCTAAGTGCTATGGAAATAATAATAACCAGCGAGTTACTGACACACACAGCTTTTTATTCGCCGACTCACTGAGATATGCTGATTTCTACACATGGAAAGACATCATGGGACAGGTAAATGTACATACATTAAAATTGTAGACGATATTTAGCAGTCAAAATTTAAGGCTAATTTTACCTTTTTATACACAGCCCTCGTTTGATATATCAGTTTATGCCTATGACTTCGACCTTTTAAATTCCAATGATGATCTGGGGGTAACAACATACGAGTACAGACGTAACACCACAACTAATAAACTGATTGTCACAACAAAACCCGGGATTAAGAACTTACGGTAAGAGGAAATGATTGATTTCTGGTTATTATTAAAAATTTATGTATTTTACTGCAACGACTTTGTTTTTCAGTTATTTGTCCTAAATAAATAATAAAACCGTTTAACTCGGTAAACCCATTGATATATCAACTTCACAGACAAGGAAATAATAATCCTTTCATATGTATATATAGGGTTTAATTTCTGATTTTTTTCAAAAGGATAAAGTTATCCCTAGATGTTTCCCTAGATGTTTCAAGTGGACAAGAAAATGTGAATATTCCAATACAGAAATGGCTACATTTAGTTGTCGCTGTGTCTACTACTTCCTTGTTTCGACGATCTTTAGTCAGTTAATTCCTGTCTGTGTTTGACGAACACAAGGTATTTTAATGACCTTGTCTGATTGATTATTTGTTTCGAATTATGTTTTATTCATTCATTTACTGTTTAATAAGCTATTTCTGTATCATGTGATCCAACTTCAACGTGTTGTCATCGTGATCGACGAGAGAGAGGGGACGGGGGGGGGGGGGGGGGCACTAAAGGTGACCAAAGACTTGGAAAAAAAAGTCATCAACATTATCTGTCCCTTAAGACAAAGAAATAGTTATGTAAAAAAGAAATAAGAATCTTTAAACACTAAACTACTGAGTTATGATTTATGCTTTTTTCCTTTGAATACAATAAAAATTATCATTCTTTTACAATTCTTTTGCAGAGATCATTGTATCGATATAATTCGATGAATTCTGGAGAACCTCTTCTCAACTTAATAGCAATAGCGTTTAATTAATGCCAATTCAACTGTCATAACCCGAGAGATTTGTACACTGGTCTACACAATAATGAACTGCTTCGTCTATTTTGCTTTCTATAAGGTTGGATTAATTTCACTTCTTGAAATGAAAATAAAACACTGTTTTCCTAAGTGTTATTGCCTTCGGATAATGCTGTTTACAACCAACGCCTTGTGCAAATAATTTCACTTAAAATAAAAAAAAAATCTCTGGATTTAAAAAAAAGTAAAGAAAGAGGGCGTACTACTCGAGGACAATCCCCCGCTCTCAGACGATATACATGTATTTCTCAATTTTTAAACTTTTCGGGAAAGTTATTTTTTCTGCAATTATGTTGTCAGTAATGTCTTCAACACATTTGATTCATTTATTTTATTGAACGACCTATTGATAGATAAATTGTTTTTCAAAGTTGACAGTTAAGCATATTTAATGGAAAATGGGTATATTGGAGCCATAAAAAATGATTTTGAATTTGAATGGGTCAAGTCTCCTTTCTACATTAACGTGTAATTGACGAAAAAGTAAATTTAAAATCTATTTTACGTTTTAAAAATATGGAATCTGAACATATTCTACATGAAAATCTAACATTTCTGAAAAATTACACGCTTCAATGCATTCGTTTATTTAAAGCACACTGACAAATTTTCATGAACTTCAAGAATTGAGAAATGTCTTTTCTCAGAGCGGGGGATTGCCCTCGCCTTGCACGCCTCCATTCTTTTTCATGTTAGACCTCATTTTTAAATTTTTATGATTTATTAGTTTTTTTTATTTAATGTTATTTTTTGTTCCATCACATGTCAAAATAAAACATATATATGCCAGGGCTTGGGCCTAGATTCATTAAGGAATTTATGCGAGGGTTGTCTATAAAGACTTAAATCTTTAATTTTCTTAATAATGACCGCCAAATGTGTATGTTAAAATTTTAATATAGACCATGATTTAGTAAATGTATAAAAACTGGGGGGAAAATATACACTACTTTATGAACTTTATAGGTGTAATTACTTCAATTGATATATGCATGCGTCAAGGCCCAGTCTGACGTTAAGCTACATGTAGTACTACTTTCATGATAACGTCAAAATTATGGATTTTGAATTCTTACCACATGTTCGAGAACATGCGCTATTTTTTCTTGATTATGCCATACTAGTGATACTACCAAGTGTTTGCGATAATATTTAATTATAGACCATACATGTAATTGAGTAAATTTTAAAAATTCAAAACAATAATTTACGAGCATCTTCAGTACAAACAATTCGTATGCAATGGCTGCACAACCCAGTCCGATTTATAAAAAAGACCATTAATAGGGATATCCTATTTTCGTCATATTATAGTGGAATTCCTTTATCGTAATATTATAGTGGAATTCCTTTCTCGTAATGTCTCTCAAATTGTACATTGAAAAATCTTATATACATTGTATATACGAAAGCGCAGATATATATCAATTTTTAAACTTCTCGGGAAACTTATTTTTTTCTATAATTATGTTGTCAGTAATGTCTTCTTCAACACATTTGATTCATTTATTTTATTGAACGACCTATTGATTGATAAATTGTTTTTGAAAGTAGAGAGTTAAGCATATTTATATGGAAAATGGGTGTATATTGGAGCCATAAAAATGATTTTTGAATATGAATTCGATTGCAATGGCTGCACAACCCAGTCCGATTTATAAAAAAGGCCATGAATAGGGATACCCTAATTTCGCCATATTATAGTGGAATTCTTTTCTCGTAGTGTCTCTCAAATTGTATATTGAAAAATCTTATATACATTGTATAAACGAAAGCCCAGATATATATCAATTTTTAAAAAAGAATTAACTAAATTTATTTTAATAATTTCCAAGTGTTTGAATAATTATTTTCTCTGGCTTCGTTTGAACCGTATTTAAACATATTTTTATGATTGGACGCTGTTCATTTCGGATGGCCGACATTGCTTTTTCTGTCAATTTTTGAAACATATTTCTCTCGTTTTTTTCAGCTCACCTGAGCCAAAGGCTCAAGTGAGCTTTTCTGATCAAAATTTGTCCGTTGTCTGTCGTCGTTGTCTTTGGCGTTGTCGTTGTCGTCGTTGGCGTAAACTTTTCACAATTTCAACTTCTTCTCCAGAACTACTGGGCCAATTTCAACCAAACTTGGCGCAGAGTATCCTTGGGTGAAGGGGATTCAAGTTTGTTCAAATGAAGGGCCATGCCCTCTTTCAAGGGGAGATAATAAAGAATTAGTGAAAAATTAATAGGGTGAGTTAACCATGCATCGGACACATACCTTGCTTCGGACAACTTCAAGCAATAAACATTCATTGAGCCTGAGTCTCCCCGTGTTTTTACTTGTTTCTGTCTTAAAGATGAAGAATTAAACTTTTCAATGATGTCGATTTTTATTTTCATGTTGTGTTAAAAATACCACAAGAATGGCCTTGAAATTACGTCATATTTTGCATCATCAAAGGGGAGTAACCAGAATTTTACGATTTTGCAATGTTTAGAGTTGTCGTTCTTTTAAATAGACGTCAACGGAACGGGTCGGACCTTGGTAAAATTTGCCAATGATTGATAATATTACAGAAATTTTTCAAAAATTTTTCTTCAATGTTTGTATAATATATTTTAGAGTTGTTTTTAACTAGTATGTTTATTTCACCGTACATCGGACACAAATTAACCATGCATCGGACACTTTCCGATGCATGGGTAATCACTTCCATTTTCATGTAAAACCCAAAATGACAGCTGTTTTTTACGGAAATAGAAAAAAGAAACTCTAAAATTTCAATGAAAATACAAATTATCGATATATGACGACTAGAAGTGGACTCAATTTATTTTCTTTAAACTAGATGATTATAACCCATGAGACAAAGGCGCGAGTTGCCATATTATTAGCATTGTAGAGCCTTTCTAAGGCGATGTTATGCAACTAAAATCTCTTCATATTTGTGGATCGAAATAGTCATTTAAATTCAACTAGAAGGTTAATTTTTAAATAAAAGATAAAAATGTTTCGATGTCACTAATTTTAAAGCACCGAGATCAAGGTATGATATTTTTCTGATTTAAATACCGTATGTCCGATGCATGGTGAATATTGTCCGATCCATGGTGAATTCTGACTTATTTCGAAAAAATCGGTTTTAAATTATATTTTCTCAATAAATAGGGCATGAATGTGTCAAAAATTTACATTTTAACCACATACTACATGTTAAGTTCCATTTTGATAATATTCGGTCGGTAGCGATATCGCTAGAACTTGTTGAAGTGCAAGGGTGTCCGATGCATGGTGAATTCACCCTAGCATCTTTTAAAAATCTTCTTCTCAAGAACCACAAAGCCAGGGAAATTGAAACTCATGTGGAAGCATCCTCAGGTAGTGTAGATTCAAATTTGTTCAAATCATGACCCCCGGGGGTAGGGCGGGGCCACAATGAAGGATCAAAGTTTTACATAGAAATATATAGGAAAAACCTTTAAAAATCTTCTTCTCAAGAACAGCAAAGCCCAAATTGGTCATATTTATATGGAAGCATCCTCAGGTAGTGGAGATTCAAATTTGTCCAAATCATGACCCCCGGGGGAAGGGCGGGGACACAATGGAGGATCAAAGTTTTACATAGAAATATATAGGAAAAACTTTAAAAATCTTCTCCTCAAGAACAGCAAAGCCCAAATTGGTCATATTTATATGGAGGCATCCTCAGGTAGTGGAGATTCAAATTTGTCCAAATCATGACCCCCGGTGGAAGGGCAGGGCCACAATGGAGGATCAAAGTTTAACATAGAAATATATAAGAAAAACCTTCAAAAATCTTCTTTTCAAGAACAGCAAAGCCATGATAAGTCATATTTATATGGAAGCATCCCCAGGTAGTGTAGATTCAAGTTTGTTAAAATCATGACCCCCGGTGGTAGGGCGGGGACACAATGGAGGATCAAAGTTTTACATAGAAATATATAGGAAAAACCTTTAAAAATCTTCTTCTCAAGAACAGCAAAGCCCTAATTGGTCATATTTATATGGAAGCATCCTCAGGAAGTGTAGATTCAAGTTTGTTCAAATCATGACCCTCGGGCGTAGGGCAGGGCCACAATGGAGGATCTAAGATTAACATAGAAATATATAGGAAAAACCTTCAAAAATCTTCTTTTCAAGAACAGCAAAGCCATGATAAGTCATATTTATATGGAAGCATCCTCAGGTAGTGTAGATTCAAGTTTGTTCAAATCATGACCCCCGGTGGTAGGGCGGGGCCACAATGGAGGATCAAAGTTTTACATAGAAATATATAGGAAAAACCTTTAAAAATCTTCTTCTCAAGAACAGCAAAGCCCTAATTGGTCATATTTATATGGAAGCATCCTCAGGTAGTGTAGATTCAAGTTTGTTCAAATCATGCCCCTCGGGGGTAGGGCAGGGCCACAATGGAGGATCTAAGTTTAACATAGAAATATATAGGAAAAACATTTAAAAATCTTCTTCTCAAGAACAGCAAAGCCATGATGAGTCATATTTAATCGAAAGCATCCTCAGGTAGTGTAGATTCAAGTTTGTTCAAATCATGACCCCGGGGGATAGGGTGGGTCCACAATGGAGGATCAAAGTTTTACATAGAAATATATAGGAAAAATCTTTAAAAATCTTCTTCTCAAGAACAGCAGAGCCCTAAGAGATTGTATTTATCTGGAAGTATCCTAAGGTAGTGTAGATTCAAGTTTGTTCAAATCATGACCCCCTGGGGTAGGGCGGGGTCACAATGGAGGATCAATGTCTGAAATAGAAATATATAGGAAGGTATCTTTTGATGAAGAACTGCAAAGCCATGATTAGTCATTTTGATATGGAAGCATCCTCAGGTAGTGTAGATTCAAGTTTGTTAAAATGATGACCCCCGGGGATAGGAATGGGCCACAATGGGGGATCAAAATTTTTTTACATAGGAACATATTGGAAAATATCTTCTTCTCAAGAAATGAAAATCATGTTTAGTCATTTTGATATGGAAGCATCCTAAGGTAGTGTAAATTCAATTTTTTTTTCAAATGATAACCCCCAGGGGTAGGGTGGGGCCCAATGGGGATCGAAAGTTTTACATAAGAACACATAGGAAAAATATTTCTTCTGAAGAACAGAAAAGCTATGTTTAGTCATATTGATATGGAAGCATCCTCGGGTAGTGTAGATTCAAGTTTGTTCAAATGATGACCTCTGGGA